TCTCCTAAATCTAAAAAAAAGTATAATTAACAAATGAAAAGTCCATAGGTAAATGGATCATATTAGATACCCTACAGAACAGGGATATATTTTTAACACCAATTGAATCAGCCAATTCAGGATCATATAAGAATATATTAGCAGATGAGATATGGAACTAATTTAGACCAATGTATGAGGGTATCAACACAATGGTAAATGGGACTGAAGAATTATAACTGATGTCCATGTCTAGAACACATTATTTACTGGCCATCAGTATAATCTGATCTGATTATTAAGCTTTTACTAGAACAAAGAAGACACAAACATTTGAGGTTCAGTAATAAGTGAAAAGGAATGTTTTACTGTCTGCTAAATAACTTTATATGCTAATGATCAGACACCAGGATAACTCCAATGGATCATGACATAACATTCATATATTCTATTCGACTATGTTACAATTCCAATCAGTTACTAATAAATATGAAAAACAAACAAGGGCATTTGTAGACTAATAATATGAAATACATAGCAAAATAATCTAGATGAAGGTACAAACCGCTTAATAGCATTTCAGTCATTATTTAAGAAGTTACGTAAAAAGTAAATTGTAGATTGACACTTTTATCTTGACTGTTATTAGGACAATGCCATAGTGGCAAAGGCACACATTTAAATGGAAAAACAAATTAGCAAAAAATGACAATGTGAAAATCTTCATATTCTGACAATGGGAAAAAAGTAAAAATCCAAGTATTATACATTATGTACAGTCAAGTGGATGCGATATTTATAAATGATAGTCACTCTTGATTTTGCCTTCCCCCATGGCCCATTGATGTCTCAGTAAATCAACCATCACCAATGGTTGTCTGAATGCCAACTCACATATTTTATTTCTAAATAACAAGAAAAAAAACTCATTTTATTTTATTGATGGCATTTCAGGGTTCTTCCAGTAACGGAAAATACTAGAGGAAGCTGCTATTAGAAGACAACCTAGGATTATTTTGGTAGGTTTATCCATGTTACTAGAGCATTTTTTTAAATATGCATAGTTCCAATGACAATGTAATTATGGACCCATCAATCATTTTAACTAAATTATGAATAGCATCCCAAAAATTTCTAATCTTTGCACATGACGCAAAAATATGGTACAGAGAACCAGTTTGGCCACAACCTCTCCAACATGCACTACAAGCTAATAGGTCCATCTTAAATAATCGAGATGGTACTATCTATAAAGAATTTTATAATTTTTTTCCAAGTGAGGGACACATTCAAATTTGAGATTCACTATTAATTTGCTTTGAATTCCCAACTATTCTTACCTTGGTAAATAACCCTGTGAGTCTCTTTAATCCACTATTCTAGGCTAAAACTGAACTCTGAGATACCGTGTGTGTGGAGCCAGCATCATTCCATACAAAAACATTTACTAAAAGTAACCTCACTCTAGCCACTACTAGTTTTGGCTTCTTAGTTAGCAACATTAGTTAAGTTTGAATTAGATAAAGTGTTATTTGAATGATAGACATTTTCCCCAGCTCACATAATTAATTTTGAGTTTAACACCAATCTTCAAAGGTTTTTGCGCTGGTTGATGCAAATCTTAAGGGGTACAAAATAATAAATTTTTATAAAAATATGATTAATCTCTGTGAAGGATTTTTTCAATAAAATAATCGTATTATTATGTTTAAGGCTGGTACATCTGTACCATCACACACCATTACCATGCAAAACAACATGTTTATATATATATATAGTTTTCAGACCAGATGTTTATTATTTGTTTCAGATCAGAGCTATTACAACAGAAAGCTCGCTTCATATGAAGTGAACAAGGAGATCATTCCTAATTAGTTGTATATCCGAGACATTAGGTGAGTGCTTTGGAGTTTTTACACTCTCCTAAATCTGAAAAAGAGAACAATTGACAAATGAAAATTACAGAGGTAGTTGGATCATATTAGTTATCCTATAGAGCAGTGATTTCTTTTAACATTAATTGAATTAGCCAATTAGTAAGAACACGTTTCAGGATCATATAAAAATATAATTGCAGATGATTCAGATCCAGACAATATATTGTCATTGTACCACGTACACACCTGGGCAATGAAACACAGCTGGCCTCTGAACAGATATGCAGCAGTAATTTAAAATACTATTTAAAAAAAAAAAATGTACTTCCCGTGTAAGCTTTACAATTAGTACTTGATACCACAATTTCCTAATACTTAAAAATACAATCCTTCTACATTGCTACCAATTTCAAGCCCAAAAATACATCGACATTATAATAGTTCCACCATATAAAAATCCAATACACAACTCATAACCCCAATTGAAGTAGAAATTAAGTGTAGCAAATGTCATTCAGTTAATACTCTAGTGCAAATAAATGAGATGAGATATGGAACTAGTTTAGAACAATGTATGAGGGTATTAGCACAACAGTAAATGGGACGGAAGAAAGGCTAGAACACAGTATTTATTGACCATAGGTATAATTTGATCTGATTATTAAGCTTTTACGAGAATAAATAAGGCACAAATATATCAATTTCTGCAAATAGCTAGTGATGCTCTAATACCCAGTGAGTATGAAAGAAATTTTAGCCGTGTGCTATATAGCGTCACAAATTCATCCGCACATAAAAATGTGATTAATGGAATTTACTGTTCTGACAGGAAAAGTTATACCGAGCAACATTACTGTCCTGACAGGAAAAGTTGTGCCGAGCATCAATCAACCCACATGAGGGTTTGTGCTGAGCAGCAATCATGCAAATAGGAACCTGGTAACTGCCTTTGGGGTGAAAGGCCGGTTACACCCTATCAGATCCAGAGGAGGAGTATTTAGGCCCAGTTCTCATCCTGCTCAGTGCCCTGTCGTGGTTTCCCTTGTGGTTGTCAGAGAGCGCGTTATTGATTCTGGTTATTCTGGTTATTTTACTTTGGCATTGTTTTTGACTTCCCTGTTTTCTGGCATCCCGGACCAATGGCTTTTCCTTTTTGTTGTGTCTCTTTCTGTATCCCTTGACCTCGGCTATTCCTGACTATTCTTTGGTACGTTAGTCCGACCAATCTAAGGTCCGGTATACGTTACCTATCAGTCCTATGTGTTACACAATTCTAGCTTTATATGTTAATCATCAGACACCAGGATAACCCCAATGGATTGTGATGTAACATTCATATATTCTATGCGTTATATTACAATTCCAATAATTTACTAATAATTATTAAGAACTAACAAGAGCATTTCTAGATAAATAATATGAAAAATATATAATAAAGCAAAATAATCTAAATAGAAGGTACAAATCACAGAATATTATTTTATTCATATTCTGACAATGGGGGAAAAAAGTAAATATCCAATAAAAATACTAATGAAGCCAAAACAATATATATAATTCTTATCTGTACCCTGAACATATAATTCTTACTTAATTAGCAAGACCCATTTCACATTACGAGAATTATGTGCCATATTCATAGCATTTATTTTATTAAAGCACTTGATCTCCCTGGAGTAATGATTCCAGCTTATCTAAGCTATGACTGACACAGGAGATACAGTCTAAATCAAAAGAACTATTTTGGAATCACTGGTTTAGTACATATGGTATCACTCTCAAGATTATTTATTAAAGTGAGAAATGATGGGAATTAAAAATACATTTCAATAGCACTAATGGCAGAATTGTAAAGTCTCTTCAACTCAGCTAGGCTTCCAGTTGAACTATTCTGGTCTAAAATCTGAAATGACGTCAAATTATTTTGATAGAAAATTTGAATAATTTCGTAAACAACAATAAATATAATAACAATATAAAAATAGGATAAAAAAACCCCCACACCAAATAAACAAATATATCAAAATTAAAACAATCATCCAATGATACATGCATGTATGGTACAGTTACCAAATAACAAATATAACATAAGTAAAGTTTTGAATTAGAAAAAAGTACATGTTTTGTGCACAGTGTGTAAGCATGGAAGTATTATACATTATGTACGGTCAACTGGAGGCTATATTTATAAATAAAAATCAGTCTTGATATTGTCTTCCTACTTAGCCCATTGAGGTCTTGGTAAATCAACCATTACCAATGGTGGTCTGAATGCCAACTCACATCTTTTATTTTTGAAAAACAAATATGAAAACCTTTTTTTATTGATGGTATGTCAGGGTGTTTCCGGTAACGGAGAATACTGGAGGAAGCTGCTTTAGAAGACGACCTAGGATCATTTTGGTAGGTTTATCTATGTTATTAGGGAATATTTTAAATATACATAGTTTAGAGGACAATGTAATTATGGACCTATCAATCGTTTTTAACTAAGTTATGAATGATATTTTTATTTATTGTCATATAAATTACTAATTTTTGGACAAGCCCAGAAAACATGGTACAGAGAGCTAGTTTGGCCACAACCTCTCCAACGTGTACAAGAGACTAGTAGGTTCAACCTAAATAATCGAGATGAGGTTAGGTACCATCTACAGAGAATTTTATAACATTTTCTCAAGTCTCACTTACTATTGAAGGCTAGAAATGGTCCGAGATACAGTGTATGTGGCCTCAGCATCATTCCATGCAAAAACATGAACTAAAAGTAACTTCACTCTAGCCACTACTAGTTTTTTTTTTTTAACTAGCAACATTAGTTAAGATTGGATTAGATAAACTGTTATTCGAATGATATAGATTTTCCCCAGCTTACATCATCAATTCTGAGTTGAAACCAATCTTCAAAGCTTTTAACCCTGGTTGACGCAAATCTTAAATTAAAGTATTTTTAAATTTAGTATTGATCTCTGTGAAGGATTTTTTGATTAAATAATTTTATTGTTATGTGAAAGGCTGGTACATATATGCATATCAGTGTGTTTGTGACATGTCATATCATCACCATGCAAAACAACATGTTTATATATATTTTTTTCAGATCAGACCTATTACAACAGAACATTCACTTCATAAAAAGGGAACATGGAGATCATTGGGATATCATTTCTAATTAGCTGGGTAACAGAGGCATTAGGTGAGTGCGGGAAGGGGTACGCTTATATACGATATTGGAGTTTTTACACTCTTTTAAATCTGAAAATGGGGGAATATATTCTATTCCGCTATGTTACAATTCCAATAAATTATTAATAAATATCAAGAATGAACAAGAGTATTTCTAGATAAATTATATGAAACATGCTTGATTAACATATATATATATATATATATCTATATATATATATATATATTATATATCAAAATAATCTAGATAGAATGTACAAAATGCAGAATATTATTACCACAATCTCCGCCATATTCAAGGCATTTACTTAATTAAAGCTCTTGTTCAGTAACCTAGTTAAGATGGCATCACCTAATACATGCCACGGGCACATCTAATCTATGGAATACTTAAATATTAATAATGTTCATAACTTTTTGTGATTCGGATACATAAGTTTTATTTTGTGATCTTTCTCTAACCATATGTTCATTATTGTTTGTTCAAAACAGGTTTGACGGCAAACAAAAACATTAAAGGTGATGGCTTTGTGGTAACTGTAAGTCCTTCTGAAAAGAAGAGCCGCAAAAATGTCAAAACACTGCTTCAAAATGCAAAGAGGATTATAAGAAAAATCAAAATGAATGTTGGAAAAAACCTTGAAATTTATGGAAATAAAACATTATGTGTTCAGATGAAGGCAAGCAAACGGCATATCAGGTGCCAGAAGAAACCATGTGTTCCTCAAAAAGAACAACCTGTGTCTGGTATAACCACACAGGACTCATGTGGTGCTTCAATCAATCAAGGACTCACTACTTCCAATACCATGGAATTAGACACAACAGATCATCTGATAGGAAGTTCTCTACCTCCTAACAAACAGAAAGCAAATAAATCTTCAAACATCAAAAATGAAATATTACATCAGATTGCTGCTCATTACAAAAAAGAATTTCTACATAAGAACGAAACAACTTTTCTCCAAGAATCATATCTGCCAATTGTGCCAGATAAAGTGGTTGAACCAACTGTTCCACAAAACGTAAATGAACCAACCGTGCCAGATGAAGTGGATGAATCAACTTTTCTACAAAGCGTAAATGAACCAACCGTGCCAGATGAAGTGAGTGAACCAACTTTTCCACAAAACGTAAATGAACCAACCATGCCAGCTCAAGCTGATGAACAACCTGTGTCACAAGAAACAGGTCCTAGTGACATACCTGAGAAGGACCAAGAACAACACACATATGTGCATTGTGTTGACAAAAAGCAAGATGGGCAATGGCTGCCATGGCTCAACCTTACACAAGAGCACAAGGACATTATAATCAACGATGAGTGGTTAGATGACACAATAATTGATGCTGCCCAGACTCTTCTTAAAAAGCAGTTTGATACAGATGGATTGCAGAGCTGTATCCTAGCACAATTTGGCATGATGCCTGTGACCAGGGAGGCTGTTCAAATTCATTATGATGTGAACCGTCACCACTGGTTCACAACAGCCTTCAAGAAAGGGATTGTTGAGGTTGTGGACAGTTTAAGAACATCACGCCTGTCTCCTTCAGCCAGAAGAGAGATTGGCCAATGCTACGGTAATGTCATGAAGTACCCACTTAAACGAGTTCACATGCGGAACGTGGACCAGCAACCAAACTATGACGATTGCGGTGTTTTCGCAATTGCAAATGCTTTTGAGTTGCTCAGTGGTAGAAACGCAACATGCAAATATCTTCATGGTCAAATGAGAAAACATCTAATCTCTTGTTTGGAGAATGGAAAAATCACAGAGTTCCCAAAAAGATTTTAAGATTTAGAAAATAATTGATATGGGCAAAAATCTCAATATCAGTTTAAATAATGAATGGTGATCTTCCTGACTGACCGCTACTCGCACACCTCATCCCTTTGCCAATCATTATAATAATAAATATAAAATAATACATATATATAGTTCTATATAAAAAATATATGTTGTGTTTATTAAACAATCCAATCTGTGCAAAACTGGTACTGTTTTAGATTAGTTAATTTATATTGTATATTATTTGTATGTATATATTTATTGCCAAGTCCTCAACATGCATCTACAATCAGTTGCAACTCCAAGTAATGATGATCATATCTACAGTTATATATACACTAACATTGAAGACACTTCACTTCGTGTCCCTTGTAATTTTTATTACCTAGCTCAGGGACGTATTAGCCGCGAGGCAAACAAGGCATTTGCCTTGGGCGTCATTTTTCAGGGGGCGGCAAAAAATGCCGCCCCCAAATGCCCAGGGCAAATGCCTGACATGCTGGGCTGGGTGGGCGGGCGGCTGACGAGGGAGCTCTTCCTCTGAGCGGTCTGCTCATCTCCCTCACGTGCCGCAGAGTGAGGCTGGGAGCCGGAATATGAAGTCATATTCCGGCTCCCAGCCTCACTCTGCGGTGCGCGAGGGAGCTGAGCAGAGTGCTCAGAGGAAGTGCTCCCTTTCCAGCCGCCCACCCAGCAGCCGGCCCATCAGCCCGACCGTCAGCCACTGGACCCCCAGGGAGAGAGAGAACCCCCCCAGCATTCCCAAATGTAAGGAGGCTGGGGGGGGGGTTAAATAAAAAAAAAGTTTTAATGTGAGTGATTGTGTGTGTGTGTGTGTGTGTCTGACTGTGTGTGTGTGTTTGTGTCTGACTGTGTGTGTGTGTGTGTGTCTGACTGTGTGTGTGTGTCTGACTGTGTGTGTGTGTCTGACTGTGTGTGTGTTTGTGTTTGACTGTGTGTGTGTTTGTGTCTGACTGTGTGTGTGTGTGTGTGTGTCTGACTGTGTGTGTGGTTGTGTCTGACTGTGTGTGTGTCTGACTGTTTGTGTCTGACTGTGTGTGTGGTTGTGTCTGACTGTGTGTGTGTGGTTGTGTCTGACTGTGTGTGTGTGACTGTGTGTTTGTGTCTGACTGTGTGTGTGTGTCTGACTGTGTGTGTGTCTGACTGTGTGTTTGTGTCTGACTGTGTGTGTGTGTGTGTCTGACTGTGTGTTTGTGTCTGACTGTGTGTGTGTGTCTGTGTCTGACTGTGTGTGTGTGTGTCTGACTGTGTGTGTGTATTTAGAGGGTGGGGCGGGGGGGAAGGGTTGGGTGGGGGTGGCGAGAAGGGAGGGGGCGCCTGAGTTTTGTCCTGCCTAGGGCAGCACAAAAAAATATATATTATAAATTGCATTAATTTGCATGTTTAATATATAAACATACACACATCAGTATCTTAATAAGTTCTAAGACAGATAACATACATATAATTTACAACATAAAATGTAAAGATGGTTACAAAAGACATAGATTTGATTATAGCCTCAAGGGTGAAATGAGTAACGTGAGGAAACACAGGATAAAACAATCGTCTCCATAAAGATCGTCTCAGCTCCCTAAAAATTTATCGTATCCAATACCTTTGTCCAATTATCCCAAATAGTATATCTTTCTCGATTAACACAAAAGTTGGCCCTGATTTCACGTTCCATTTTGCACTGCAATTTAATCTACTCTTTCATTTGCATCCATAATTTTCGACCTTGGCGTACACACAATCCATGGGGCCCCGATGCGAAAACTGATTCGTGGGACCCCGCCGGCGCTTACACTCAGTAACAGACACACTCACTAACACTCACTAGCAGACACACACTAACAGACACACACAAACTAACACACAACTAACACACTCAGTAACAGACACACACACAGTAACACACACGCTGACACACAAAAACTAACATACTCACTCACACACACTCACTAGCAGACACACACTCAATAACAGACACACACTAACAGACACACACAAACTAACACACAACTAACACACTCAGTAACAGACACACACACAGTAACACACTCACTGGCACACACACACACACACACTCACTAACACTAACACACATACACACTCACATTTCTTTTTCATTTATTTCCCCAGCCTCCCTACCTTTGGAAGTTCTGAGGGGATTCCAGCTTTCCCTGGGATCCAGTGGGGCTGCTGGGCGGCCGGTCACTGCAGGCGGCGAGGAAGCACTGATCCTCCTGTTCAGCTCCCTTGCGCGCTGCTTACTGATGCTGGAGCTGGAGTGACGTCATATTCCAGCTCCGAAATCACTCTGGTGCGCGCAAGGGAGCTGGGCAGAGAGAGATCAGGGTAGAATTCTCCCTCGCGCGCCTGCCTGCAAAGTGATGCCACTGCCAGACTCGGGGGGCCCTGAGGTGGCCAGCTGGGCCCCCCAGGAGAAGAGGCTGGCAAAATTCGGCCGTGGCTGCAATGGCGTACATACCCGGGTCGCATGGCGACCAGGTTCCCTGGAGGGCCAGGCCTGGTCGCAGCTGCGACCCCTGCGACCACGATATGTATGCGAGTGCACAAACCACAACAATTGCTTCCTTCTTATCACTTGATCTGTGAAAATCAGTTTGAACAATTCAAACATCATATTTATATAACGTATATATATTTTGCGGTACACTAATAGGTGCATTTTTGCATCACTTTGGCTAATCTAAATCTTTTTGTTTTTAAAACTGTTGCATTGATGGAATTAATTCAATGAAAACACCTCATAAATAAAACCCAGATTGCCAAAAATATATTATTTAAGACAATTTTTTTCACCATGCACAAGTCCACTGGTCAACACCTGGCAGGTGCATTAATTTGTTTATCCGGGTTACTGAGGGTTTTAGACAGACTACAGGGCTTATGTGCATCCTGCAACAGAATCATGCAAAGCCCTTTTGTATGCAGATATATGACTTAAGCCAAGTAGCCATGAATGCTGTGTTTGGGTATGGTTACCTCACATTATTTTAACGTTCAGACTGAGGCTTCATCTTTGAAATGGTCATGGTCAATTTTCTTACAAATATACATACAATGATTAATTCACTATATTTTATCTAATTTGGTCACACCTACTGCATGTGAAAAACGGCATTCTGCTTCTATGCAAATATTTCAGCCCGTGTCTACAATTTTAGAAGATAAGGGATATATAATTGCTAATAATTATCCCCTACAATCTCTGTAAAGCATAATCGGGTATAGTACTTTTTGTTAGTTTTTCTCCATCTTTATTTGTTCTTCTTTGTGGCAGACGAGGTACATAAAGGCAAGGACACCACCGAAATGAATTTCAATCCAAAAGGGCTAGTCAATGAAATATACAAAAAAAATATATAAAAATCTTTGTTTTTCTTATGTATCCCTAAATGTGTTTTCTTCATTCCACATTTTAATAAATGTAGCACTATTTAAAGTAAATAAATAAATGATGTGATAGCGATGGGTTAATTAACTTTGACTTTGGGGTTTATTTACCAAGCAGTAGATTGTTGAGACTTGAAAAACCTATTTTCCATTTTCATCTTTGTTTACAGTTTTTTAAATTAACTTTAATTCACTGTTTTTAGGTAAGTATCTTCACGTTTGAGTGTTACCCAACACATTTTTTAATATCACAGTCATATTAATATCTAACATGTTTTTAGGTAATTGTATCAACCTGACGAATGACAGTAGCATTGTAAGTGTTATAGAATAATCCTTGTACTTACATTTGTTTAAGCATATAAATACATGAAAGTACAAGACAAATGTGTACCTGCAGGAGTTACTAAAGCAATTTAACATCTCTACATTCACATTAACTAGATTAAGACAGATCATTAATAATGATGTAAAGTCACACTTCACTGTTTCTGTATGATTGTATTCTTGAAAAGCCTAATTTATTTGCAATATGCCGTTGAACGCTCCATTCCCATTTTTAGTTCCATTAAAGCTAATTTTCTATGATTTTTTTTCTCTTTTCCTAACAAGTTAATAATTACTGAAATGATTGAGAGTATATTATTTTCTAAATATATTGCAGTGTATAATTATCACCTACAATAATGCTTATGACCTTTTTTTTAATATGATATATCAGTAGAAATATTGTGCATTTAATTCTTTACTGTAATAACTTATATAGTGAATGCTATCAAGTAGACTTGGCCAGAACATTTGGTTCAGTCGAATGACTACATTACCCAATTAGTCTGGGTAGTTTGATGTTGTCCATGTGGGTTTTGGCTCATCGGAAGATGGTTAATGCAAAATATTAGGGAAAATGATTTGGACAAACCAGAAGGGAACAAAAATGGGCCATTTTACTGCAAAATTTATAGATAATATTAATATGTATTATTTTGCAGTATGCAGATAGTCTTTTTGCCCACCACTTTGTTCACAGATCAAGTAGAAAAAAATAACCAACAGAGGGAAATAGAGGAGGAGCAGCAAAAAATATAAACATCTACATTTATATATTGTATATTTATTAAATATATGATATATAAATATAGCTGAGCTAAGTCTGCACACCAGGCTTAGCTCAGGCAGACATCTTTTAGGTCTCTAGAATTCAGAATTCACTGGCTTGAATTTGACTGTTATTGGGAGCCTAAACATTGCCATTCCGCTCCAATGAAAGTCTGCATTTTTGAATGCATGCTCTTTTTCTCATTTTCTCTTTTTATTTAGCATTCAGTTCTCTGTCAGAAGCAGTGAAAGGAAAAGGCAGCACCCAAAAGATCCCAGTAAGAAGTCAAATTATTCTACAATGGCTTAACTCAGAGACGGATTTCCCATTTGGTGACCAAGATGGTCGATGGGCCTCTTTCTGGGTCTCAAACTCCAGCGGTGAGCAGGCCCTCAAGCCAGCATGGAAATAAAAATTCACCCTGCTCAGCCCTGTGCCCATTCACTTCACTGAGATAGCATTGGGGTCTGTACCAATATCAGGTCCT